AAAATATATAAGGTTATTTATAAAGAATTCCACTCATATTTTGTAGTTCAAAGGGTTTTCTTTACAATGAAACCATTTTTTTCCCATTTCCTCCATTGTATGCGTGTAGGGCAAACATTTGAATTGGAGTATGAAAAATTTAGGCGAAAATACCAAAAACGCCCAGAGAATAAGTGGTTAAAGGGGTCATATGATGCGATTTCAATTGTTCTTTTCTTTTTGGAGTGTTACAAGCTCTTGGTGCATAAAGAAGATCTGTAAAGTTGCAAAGACTTAAGTCTCAAATCCAAAGAGATATTCTTTATAAAAGTTAAGAGTCAGCCACACCTACCTAAAACGCCTCGTTCTAACACGCCCCCACATGTCTACATCACAATGTGGGAAGATTTGCATAACGCCGAATTGTTCACGCTAAGAAAGAAGGCGTAACTTTTATTCTCGCTGTAGTATTGTTGCCGCCGCCGCCATGTCCTGAAGAGCTGTGCGCTTCGTTGTGAAAGTGAAACTACTTTGTTTGGTCTTCCAAAAGAGGACGATATCCATTTCATCATGCCTGGAGCTGATCCGTGCTGGTCGTGCCACCGCTCACTCTAGCCCACCGTGTGTGACGCTGTGTTTTGTTGATGGAAAAGTGGACACGACTAGAAATCAGTGGTTAAGTTGTATTTACAACACTGTTCCAGAACACTTCAACCCAAATATTCAGATGTGTGCAGCACATTTTATGGAGGACTGTTTCCTGATCCTGGGAGAGTAGACTACAATGCCGGTTGTTCTGACTCACAGACTGGAAGTGCGTCTTTTATATTTAAAGTGTTTTTAAATTGTATATTTTTAAAGCAAGTTTTTTTTGAGCGGTGTAGAGTAGCACTTGAAGACAGTATAAGTCATTATAATCAATAATTATGTCCCCACTGGATGCAACAAATGCCTAGTTTATAATGGGTTTTAATGCTTTTGTCTCGTCGCTCTGGGACAGGGCATCACAGTTTTTTTAAACTTTAAACCGCATAAACATTTCATTACACCAAATAAGTTGGGGAAGTTGGGGGGAGTGAATGTACAGCGCTCTCTCCCACCTTCAATACCACGACTGAGGTGCCCTTGAGCAAGGCACCGAACCCCCAACTGCTCCCCGGGCGCCGCAGCATAAATGGCTGCCCACTGCTCCGGGTGTGTGTTCACGGTGTGTGTGTGTTCACTGCTGTGTGTGTGCGCACTTTGGATGGGTTAAATGCAGAGCACTAATTCCAAGTATGGGTCACCATACTTGGCCACATGTCACTTCACTCACTCATAATGTTCTTTTTAGCAACATCATATGACCCCTTTAATGTCTGTTATAAAATGTATTCCGTTACCACTCCTTCCGAGGACCATCTTCAGACTTGCCTCATAGAAAGCGCAGAGAGTGTCGTCCGGATAGCTGGTGACTTTAGCGACCATCAGGAAAACTGATCCTTTTTCGTTTTTTTGTTTTTTTCCAAAAAACGAAAAACGAGAATTCAGCTTAAATTTTCGTTTTTCATTCATGGGTGGAAAAATGAATAAACAGTCTGAATATTTGATTTCCACACGTGGGCGGGAATTAAACGCCCCTTTCTGCTGATTGGTAAGCCGAAGATCAAACCGTGCCGTCATCAGTTCTTCTGCAGTATTACGCAGCAGAATAATAGTCCTCCGCTGCTGCAGTTGTACGGATTAATAACCCATTTTATCAATTTCATATTTTTCTCAACAAACAGACTAATGAATAGCTCGTCTAATGACAGAGTATTAAGTTCCCTCAATGGGGGAAAAATCAATCAGTACTCAATATTAATGTAAACTGGTTTAAATATGACTGCTGCTTATTTCCTGTGCACTTCAATACTGGTCTGCGCTTGACTGTAGTCGCGTCTGTCTGCTTATTGAGTTTATTTAACCCATCGCAATGTCGCAACATCGCAATGTCCTGCTTGGGCTTGCCAATTTAATGGCAGAGAATGGTTTACTTGAGTTGTTTTGTTTTTTTAAGCGGATACATATCTGTCATAAAATAATCCTATGCATCTCGTGGCGTATATTCCAAGCATTCTGAAGGTATTCTGAGGGTTTGGTGAGAAAAAAACGAAATGGCAAGTTATTATATTTTATGAAAATCTTGCGTGGCGGACTTTGGTTCCTTGTATTTTTATAATGTTGTCTACGCCAACCAGACATTGGTGGGCGGAGCTAATGTAAATGGCCTCTGCCAATAAGGTGTTAATATGAAATACGTGCAATAATGATTGCAGAAAAAAGTAACAATGTACAGAAATCGATTTTGCTTTTACATTGATTTTATTTTATTGCCAGATCTCATTGTTTATCACTAACACATAATTGCACTGCTGTGGGCCAGTGGTTGAATCCGCGACATAGGTTCTTAGTTCGAATCCAACCTCGGAAACAACTTGTTTTTGTTTGCTTAAATTTACTTATGCAAATCACCCCAAAAGAAAGAAAGAAAGATGTTTATCCATGATTGTATATCAAGAATACGAAAACGTTTGTGTGCATTTTATTTTGTGATTTCACCACAACAAATTCAGGGTCTCTGCTATAGCGTTCCGCGACTGAGTGGAGCGTTCCTCTGCTTGAACGAAATAGAGGTTTCCGCAGAGCAAAAGTGGGCGTTTCTAAATTTGTGGGCGTTTTCTAACTGCTGGGTGTTTCTAAATCATGCAATGAAAATGAGGCCCTTTACCTGACCCCACCCCTAAACCTACCGTCACTATGACGTCAGCCTATCAGGTTACATGGTCTAAAAACACCCCGATCTGGTAAGTCCCGTTACTTTCCTGCAGAAACCTATTCTTGGCTTGAACTGTGAAGACTGTGCACGGGCAACACTGACTGTGGGCTTCATCCACTGATAACGGTGGCAACGAGCACTCAGTATGTTTTCAGAAACAACACATTGCAGCGCCCGATCGTCTCTTTAACAAACGAATTATATGAATGCTCTGCTCTGCTGCATAAAATTGTTATTGGGTACATCCGTGCAGCAAAGGTGTTTCTAAAAAGTGGTGGGGACCAAATCGCTGCTTGGCAAAACGTGGTGGGTACGTGTCACCCCGCAAATTACACGTTTTCCACTAACACATATTCTAATCCGTTAAATAGGTGACAAAATGTAGGCTACATTTGGTGTTAATGTATGTATTTTTATGGAAAATCACAGTTCTGATCAAAATGTTTTGTCTCTGTAAAAATACATTTTTCTCAACTCTGACAAAACATTATATATTAACGTTTTTTTAAGGACATGTAAGGTTAAAAATACATAACAATTACTTTTAATTAAAGACAAAGGCCATTTTTTTCAGAAACACATGTAATCACTTGAAAAACAGATCAAATGTACATTTGGTGTCAATGTATGCATTTTTATGGAATTTCTCAGTTCCTATCAAAATGTGATATTACTGTTAAATTCTACTGTTTTTTTTTTTACAGTGTTGGCTATTTCTCTATCTATTTCTATCTGCTCTTCGAAATATTTACAAATTGCCCATTAATTTAACAGTTGTAAGAATGAAAGTTATCAAAGTTATTAAACAGATGCATACTTGATGCGCGCATTCTGCCATGCCAAATCATGCACGCAGCACTGACTATGCTTGCTTTTATGTTTGTGAATGTTATATTTGTGCCGTGGGATCTGTAGGTGTGGCTAGGTGATGCGTCTTAAAAGTGGAACATGGAAATCTCATGGATGTACTGAAAAAAAAAAGTTTTATATTTTGTATTTGTTTAAACGCTTAGGCTAATGTATTTCCCGTGTGCAGTCAAATGTCCTGGTGTATGGGCTATGCAGTGTTCTTAGCACCCCCAACCTACAACATCTTCCCTGTGTGAGACAGAGATGTTATTTTAGTTTCTTAGACGTCCTGGCTACTTAGAAAATGATTTGCATTAAATTCAACGCATCTGGAGGACATTTAGGCACCTTAAATGGGCATTTATGTTGTATATGCATTATGATTGGATGAGATCAGAGCATCCGCATTTGATGAAGTTATAAATGTTGAGTTTGGGTATTTCCTCGTTGTTGCAATCTACAGCCAACCCTCAATGACTGTATGAATGTAAACCTTTTCCTTCAGGAAAATAAATATTCAAAAGACTTTAGTCTCATACCTTTATTGAAATAGAAAATTGCCACGACAGTTTCTAACAGGATTCGAGTGAAAAGTAGAAGAGCAGTTGGACGCCGCCATGAACCCGGTAAATATCATTAATTAACAATGGGAAGAATTAAAGATTACATTACTTATAGACAAATAGATCTTTTTTTGTGTGTGTTTTCTGTTGTTTTTGATCAAAATACTTTCTGATACTATTGAACAATATGCTTATTGCTCAAGGGTGGTCACAAAGCAATTTTATTATGCTATAGAGAGAAAATTTGAAAAAGTAAAAACACTACACAAGTTGCTCTGAAAAGACAACAGAAATAGCTAAACTTAGATATAATTCTCTTTGAAATGAGTATGCGACCCTCTCTGTAAAACCTCGGCTAAAGTCGCATAATCGAATTCCGAGATAAAGAGCGTCGAAGTTGTGATAGCCATAAAAATGATGAAAAAAAGATAATTTGTGTTTATTGCTGTAAATGATAGATTAGCCTATATCAGTGGGTTCGGGATACAGTTTTGTAATTTTCATTTATAACATGATAAATGCTGAAATTAATGATTGACACTAATTATTAATGTGCAAAATAAAATACCGGAGGTTTGCTTCCTAAATATTGATATCAATCATCTCTGAGTTTAGGCTACTTTAGGTGCAGACACATCTGCTGAATCTCATATCATTCGATTCATAAACTTCTTTTCTATCATTAGAAACTGCAAACAGACCTTAATATCAATTCACAAGAGCGAAAACCAGGTCAGTGCCGGGAAACGCATGAAAACTGCGACTTTATCCGGGTTCTGATTTCTGTGTGGATCTTTTCGTGGCATCACTGAAATTTCAATAACAGCCTATTTGTTTTGTTGCTCAACATTCTGCCAAGATACTCAGCTTATTTTAAGGACATTTTATGCCTGATACATGTCGAAATAATTCCGTCTTTGGATGCTGATCATGACGCTGATGCTGCGGTTTGATGAATTACAATAAGTATTAAACATTAAAAATAATAACATAATAGTCATCGGTATAATTGAGATACTATTAGAGTTTATACTAATATTAATATTAATTATAATAAAACGTTTTTATTGATCATATTTATCATATTTTCTGTTTTCATTTTGTTGCGTTTTTGTCATTTTTATTAGTTTTTTTATATTTCTAAATAGTTTTCATTAATTTTATTTCAGTTTTAGTTATTTTAGTACATTATGTTAACTAAATAAAAATGAGAAATGTTACCTTACTAAGCTTAAGTATATTATATTTGATTTCATTTATTTATTTTATTCATATATTATAGTTTTTATTTAAGTTGATACATTTTTATGGTTTTAGTTTGTTTTAGTTAACTATAACCTGCTTTAACTTGTTAAATAATCTAGATGTTTAAAAAATATATTTAAATGCACATTTAATACATATTATTTCTGATTTGTTGTTGGCTAAATAGCTGTTATTATATAGGCCTTTTAATAAAAAGTTCCATATGTCCTACGGAAGCAATAAAGCACTTGCGTCTGATGTTTCGGTTCCGTTTTTTAGAATAAGAATAGCCTATGCATGAATGCAGGGGCGTAAACTTCGTCTAACAGTAAGGGGGGACAATAAACACAATTTCTCAAAAGCAATTTTTGAAGGGAAGGGGACACAAATATTACAGCTAAAATTGTACTTGTAAGGAAAAGTCTACACAGAATAAAGCCTTACTACTATTAGTGTAGCAGGGAGACAGTGCCAAATTAGACAACTTCAAGCTGTTGTGGACAACATAGCGGACTCATCGAAAAATACATTGGCATGATCTGTATTAAAGAGAATCACTTCATCCGATGTTTAAGTGAATACAATAGCCTTGACAGTCGAGGACCACAACTATTGACTTTGTTCTCTCTGTGTGTGTGTGTCGAGTGTGCCTCACACGTCCTGAAAAGTGAAGCTGCAAACTCTTTGATCGCCCCCTGGTGGCTGGCTGCAGTACAGGTCATAAACCCCACCCTCTCCATGTAAACGAATGGGACTTGAGTCAAAATAAAATAAAATAAATTACACTTCCAATACAATTTTCTGAAAGATGGTTTTGGT